AAGCGAAACCGAAATAAAGCCTCGACTTCGAACACAGGATACTTAGCAGGTGACGAATCCATGTTCATTCCGTCGGATACGTCGGACATTAGTGATTGGGAATGGATTGCGGGAGGTTTTCCATGCAGAGAAATGATACGAAAACGCTTCATTTCAGATAACCTCAATTTTAACAAAAACCCTTCCCCACCATTAGCTCCTCAAACATATCAAACTAATATAAAATCTGAGATTTTAGACGAACAACTTCAATCTACAGATACAGCGGAATGCCCAATTAGTATAAAGCCAGCACCTCAATCTACCTCACACACACCTGGCGAATCTTCTACCGCTACGACAACAGAGGGCCCAAACATTCCTTCGGATTCATCAAAAGCATTGGAAGGAGAAAATCCGGTGGAATTTCCAGTCTTTGAGATAGAGGACTCCTCTAACGAAAGTGCAAATAGTGAGGAAAGACATCCTAAGGAAATCACTACCACCGGTAACGAATATAAATTAAGACGTTCAAGTCGAAATGTTGGTCCCCCACAATTCTATGGTAAGCGATATTACATAGATATTATAGACGAGTGCGAAAACCAACCAGGCTCCGCGAATAACCCGATATCTCTGGACGAAGGCGACAGCTCGGGAATCCCCACTCTAACCTTCAGAGAGAAACCCTCGGAGAACCAGACTCACATTTGCGACACTCGACCGGAGGACCGTGCACCGGGCCCAGCGTACCCTTCATCCCCTGATCAATTCTCCATCGCCTCTACTGACGAATCCCTGAGAGATGCGGTGAACAATTTCGACAACTTCATCGACTTAGACAGTGAAATTTTTAACGCTGAGCTAGAAAAATTCATGGAAGGGGACAGCTAAACTAAATCAAAAACTTGAAAACTCACATTTAGTCATTATATCGTACTAGTGTTTCATTTCAGCGCAGTTAGAGTTTACCTTCTTATAACTAGGGATTATAATCCGCCGGAATTAGAAATTATATCATTCTTTCTAATCCAGTCATTCCTTCGCAGCACTAAAATTTCGTTTGTGATATTGCACAGTATTTAATTTTCAATCCTTGTTGGACTTCTCGAGAGGGAGAAAAAGGGTTAGATAACATGTTATGTATCATGGCGCTTATTAATTTAATTTTTTTTCCCACTAAGGGGAATGTTGCGAATCTTACTATTCGTCTTATTTCATTTAATTAGTTTTAAAGTTTCTTAACTGGTTAATTTAGATATGAACTTGTTATCTTCATTCTCTCCGACGGAGAGAATGACCGCTCACTTTTTAAGTTTTTAATTTAGAGATTAATTCACTTTTTAAACATATCTTATTTGTAACTAAGTAGAATTATCCGTAACAAAGAAACATTTTAACAAATGGGTAATTTGTTAAGAAGTTGCAAGAGGAATCATTTCGATCTGCGAATTTTTCAATCATTTTTAACCTAAAAACTTTAATGTGTTTTTCAATTTAGACTGAAAATTTGTCTCATTTTGCTGAACGAGGTAAGTATGAAAAAATCGACACGTAAATGAATCTGCTCATTGCATCCACACTTTGATAAGCTTATGTCTGAATAGTTCTAAAAACAAAGACACATTTCTGTCGTCGTTTCTTCTTTGAAGACTCACGACTGAAAAGACTTTGAGAGGACACCACTTTCGATGACGAATGAGCAGTTTTTGAAGATTCTGATTTAAGGCATGAAAAACCGACCTATGGCTATAGTTCCTTCCCATTCTCAATACAATGAGAAGCACAATGAAATTTGAAGTTTGCTATTTACCGGGTATTTCAAATCAAACTTTTTCAAAAGGAGAAATCGAGTTTCTCATTATGTTTTTTGGTGTTCTACCTGATTCGAGTGAAACGCTATTAAAACTTTGTTTAAAATCTGCTATTTGAACTTTTTTTCCGCTAAATGGCGGTAAGGCAGGAATAAGTGATCAACTCGAAGATATATTGCTTTTTTTAAATTAATGATTTCTCCGGGCGTGGAGAAAATTTGCCTTCGGATGTGATTTAGTTTTTGTTCCGACCACTGATAGTTTCAAAAACTCTAAAACTCTGCTGTTTTCTATCTTCCATCCTCCACATCTGAACATCGTTTTCATGTAACGAGTAAGTTTAAGAGGTAATAAATATATCAGCTTTTAATATAATTCTAATAGCATAATTGAACGGCGTGCCAAACTAATAATGAGACGATGTGAACAAATAAATTACTTGGATAAACTTTCTGCTGCAGAAAAAGAAAAATAGCCGAACACATTCAACAATTCAAAATGATTCATGCAAAAGAGCTCAGACGCTTTGAAACAAAACCCACCAAAACTTGTTGTGTCAGAACGAAACCGTCAGTTTTAAGACCGTCGTTTCTTTTTTAAAATTCTTCCCGCGTCACGAAAACTCAATTACAAAACAAGTTTTTTTGTCAATTAACTCAATATTTTAATCAAGTGGTCCATGTTGGTTCATTTAGTTTTGTCTTTCCTGAGTTGTTGCAAACGTTTTTTTTAAATTGGCAAAATGGCATTTTTAAGGCGACATAACATAATTGAACATGGTTGCAGGTGATAAACGTGTTAATTTTAATGATGTATGAAAAATCAAAGTACCGCAAGATATAAAAAAAAAATTTCAAAATAACTGCCTGTTTTAAAGCTGAAAGTGGACTGGGGACAAAAACTGGAGCAAGATTTGGAGCAAAAAATTTGGAGCAACTTTATCCCTGAATTGAGTCACGGCTAGTTTTATTTGAAATAATTATGAATTTTGAAATTTTCTGGCTCCTAGTTTTTTTGATTTTGTGGAGTTCTATGATCACATTTTTCATTGCAACCTTCTCCTAACACATCTTTGTTAATGTTTTTTTTTCTTTTTTGTTGTTTTTTTGTAATTCATTTAGAAAAAAATATATATAAAGTAAGTTGATATGGTGTGATAATTTTGTCAGCTTCATTTTAACAATAAAATGTGGTCTTCAAAATTAACAAACTGAGCCTACAAGAAATCCACTTTGTCTACGCGTTTTTGTGCGTATCATTACGAGGCCAAACTGTGCACTGGATAAGCGCATAAATTAGTTACTATTGATCACCAGAGTTCAGAGGCCAATCTTTAAACTTGTTCCAAGTTTTAAGTCGATTCCGCGATTCTGATTAACCAAGTGCTTTACCTATCTGTCCGAAAAATCCAAAACTACAGAGAAGAGCTAAGAAAACTAGAAGTATTGTCGATTATGCGAGATATCTCTGTGTTCGGTCTATTGTAAAATCTGCTAACGCTTCACAAATTACACAGATTGGCTTTGTAAAGGTTTATGGCTAGCAAAAATTGAGCTACGCGACAAAATTATTCGTTTGCTAATATAAACAAGACTGCTCGTATTAGGGCGAATCCCTGAAAATTCTGACTGCCTTTTAACTTTTATGGAGCAGTAATAATATAAACAACATAACAAATTAAATGAAATAAAATAAAATAAAAAAACTTTTTTTTCTAAAATTTGAAAAATTTTCTATGAAAATCATCCATCCACACGCCATATAAAGTACAAAACAATGTATTTTGCTCCTTGTAACAAATCAATTATGGCAAATAAGCTCCTTTTAACCAATTTGGAACGATTTCTAATACGGATTAAATCTCCTCTTACGCGTTAGTAGCGCGATTTATATCGCGAGTTAATTGTCCCAAATTGGTCAAAATGATCAAAATGGCAATCTTTACACCCTCATAACTTTACGAAAAATGATCGTAAGTGAAATATCTTTTCAAATTTAAGCTCAGGAAAACAATAGACTTCGAATGATTTTTAAAAATTCCGTCAAAAATGGCTAGTTAAAAAGTCGAAATTATGTCTGAAGAAAAAAAACCACCACGAGCTCAAATATTCCATTACTTTCGTATCGAAAGTCAGAACCACAAGAATGCTTGAATGTTTTGACTGTCCGTTAATTCATCAAAAAGGCAAATGTTGAGTCGTACGAACTTAATACGGCCAATCTGATTAGCTAGCCTCAATTCAATTTGGAACGATTTTGTTGTGATGGATAATTCGCCACGCATAAATCAATCGCGTTAAAATCTCAACAATATGAATAAATTCTTCAAAGCGCGCATAATTTAGTCCAGAACATGGCCAATTGGCATTTTTTAAACCCCCCGAACTTAAGTAACAACTTTTTTTGTAACGATTTTGTTACAAAATTGTTACAAAAAACAATCGGAGGTCAAATATCATTTAAAATTTGAACTCAGGAAGTTGATATGGGGTATCAATTTTTTTGTCGAAAACTGTTTCGATCAGCGAAAACTGAATAAAAAAAAACCATCGAGCATAAAGATTCCGTTTTCTTCTTAACCCGGAACAAAAAGTTATGTCATACAGGAAAAGATCTTTTATTCGCTCAAATAAATATAGTAAACTACAACAAGTTAGCTTTAGACCAATCAAATTTTAATCTAGACTTGGTCTCATTTTTATAAAATTTTAAATCTAATTTAATTTTTAATTATTTTTTGAAATAAGGGTCCGTTTATGTTGCAAAAATCCATTCAATTTCACTATGAGATAATGTTTCCCTTCCATAGTGAGATATATATTTTTTTGGTTTCTGAAATCTTTAAATTTTCATAAAGTGAAGATAAATAAAAAATGCTTTTTTACCGCTATTAAAAATTTCAGAAATCAGTAAACAACAATTTAGTTATTGAGAAACATGGAACCAGAACTTTTATGAGAGGAGATTTTTCTGAATTATTCTGAGTTGATTGAGAAAACGGTCAATGAAAACTGTTCGAACTCTTTGAGCAGTCAGAGTTTTAGATCTCCGAGTTGAGGATAGCAGAGGAGTCTTGTTTTTAGTATCATTACACAGTCTGAGATTATGACACTGCTTTTTCACGCACTGACATTTAATGGTAACTTTTTGTGGTTGTACTTATTTAAAGCTATTTATTTTCATCATGACGAATGAAAAGTTCTTTTCTTTACATCAGAACTCACACAATCACATCAGCCACTGACTTTTTAAAATGTGAATTAAGTAATATGGCATAAAATACTGGCTAGAGCTATTTGTATTCGAAGTTACGATCATTCATAATAGTTAAAAAAATCTTCAAAATAGTTGTTTGAAAGCTGACGCAGTCTGATAATGGAGAATGAAAGATCGAACGCCAGTTTTTGTTCCAATAATCCAGTAGCAAGTCATGATGGGCAACCAGTCGACGAAGAGAATGAAGGAAAAGGGGAGGGATTTTTTACGGCCGAAGATGTCATCTCTCACTGGCAGCAGAGTGGGCACAGTCGAAGTAATAGTCACAGGAGTGACAAGTCGCAGCACTTGAAGAAATCAGACAAAAGAAGCGATTTCCAGGGGTCAGTCAATTTTTTGAAATGCGTTGATTTATGCGCGGAGGGATATTTTTGCGTTGTGCACAAGCATTTTTTGAGATTTTTTTTCAGTTGCCCGTCATTCACTGAAGCAATCCCCCTTTGTATTATTTTAAAATATCCATATTTGGTGACAGACACTAAAAGTTTTCTAAAGGCGCCCTCGGCGCCAATGTTTTCTAAATTTGAGAGGGGAGCGCGCGCCAAAAAAAACGCAATTTTTTGGTCAAAATTTTCCAAAATGTTCCCAAAAAACGCAATTTTTTTTTGCCTGTTTTTCTAAAAGTTTGCCCGCGGCGCAGTCTTTTTGAGCGCTTTGGAAGAGCTCGGAAATTCACTTTGGTCAATCTAAAACAAGGTCGACAAACTTTTCGAAAATTTTTTGAAAATCCACCCGTCCCGCGCCACCCCCATCCCTCGAGAAAATCCTAGATCCGCCCCTGGTTTCTTACATATGGTTAAACTGTAAATAAAAAAAATCAAAATTTAATTTTCAAAGTCTTGATTTCGCATCTTAGTTTTTTGGTGAACACAGTTGTCCCTTACAGCAAAATTCGACTTAATTCAAGTTTTTGACTGAGTATAAAAATCAGAACTTACGTGCCACTTTTGAGTACATGGTTTCTTTTTTAAAAAATACGTCAGTTCAAAAGACAGGCGAACTTCCTTTATTTCATTTGCGAGAGCAAGTGATTTGTAATCAGGAACTAGACATTTTCCACGCTAACAAGTTTTCTTAGCAACAGGTTTCGGGTTCGATATGTATGTATACGTACCTTGCTTTATTATTGAACCTTGTCACTTTTCAAGGTCTTTTTCCACTTGGTCTAGAGGTAATGGACGCGACTTCGGAGGTCGCGTTCGATCCCCAACGGGACAGTTTTTTTAAGATATATATGAAAATGACCTTGCTTTTTACCGAACCTCAAAATCGTTCAAGCCCCTCTCACTTGATCCAGAACTAAAGCACATATCTTGGGAACAGAACTTCTAGGGTTTGCATCCCGGTCGGACCTTGACCTTGTCTTTATTCGCAGCATAAAAATTATTATTTGAAAATTGAATTGTCGGACTATCGTTTGTTTAGTTTTTTGTCGGCAGCTACTAAGTAATTTAACCATACTTCTCGGGAAAAAAATGTCTAGGGTTCGAAACCCGGCCGGGCCTTGTATTTCTTTCGTAGCATAAAATTTATTATTTTAGAGTTTAATTGTGGGACTATCGTTTGTTTACTTTTTTGTAGGCAGCTACTAAAGCACACATCGTTAGTCTATTTTTTTTTGTCGACAGCTATTAAATAACTAAAGCATACATTTTGAGAGCATACAAGTTTTCTTAGCAACAGGTTTCGGGTTCGATATGTATGTATACGTACCTTGCTTTATTATTGAACCTTGTCACTTTTCAAGGTCTTTTTCCACTTGGTCTAGAGGTAATGGACGCGACTTCGGAGGTCGCGTTCGATCCCCAACGGGACAAATTTTTTAAGATATATATGAAAATGACCTTGCTTTTTACCGAACCTCAAAATCGTTCAAGCCCCTCTCACTTGATCCAGAACTAAAGCACATATCTTGGGAACAGAACTTCTAGGGTTTGCATCCCGGTCGGACCTTGACCTTGTCTTTATTCGCAGCATAAAAATTATTATTTGAAAATTGAATTGTCGGACTATCGTTTGTTTAGTTTTTTGTCGGCAGCTACTAAGTAATTTAACCATACTTCTCGGGAAAAAAATGTCTAGGGTTCGAAACCCGGCCGGGCCTTGTATTTCTTTCGTAGCATAAAATTTATTATTTTAGAGTTTAATTGTGGGACTATCGTTTGTTTACTTTTTTGTAGGCAGCTACTAAAGCACACATCGTTAGTCTATTTTTTTTGTCGACAGCTATTAAATAACTAAAGCATACATTTTGAGAACAAATTTTCTAGATTTCGATCCCAGCCGGATCTTGTCTTTCTTTCCATGCATAAAAACTATTATTTTAAGTCGGACTATCGTTTGCTTTTATTTTTGTCGGCAGCTACCAAATAACAAAAGCATACATTTTGAGAACAGATCGTCTAGGTTTCGAATCCCAGCCGGACCTTGTCTTTCTTTCGCTGCATAAAAATTACTATTTTAATGTGAATTGTCGGAATATCGTTAGCTTACTTTTTGTCGAAAAGATCAATTTTTTTCTCTTCAAAGCATCATATGTTTTTTGATTAAGCAAATTTATCAATAATTGAAAATGGTATTTAACTTTTTTGCGCTTGCGATTAGCAAGCGTTATCAAATCGGAATATAAACTTTTTCTGGTAAAAAAACTTGTTTAACAAAACCAGTTGAATCAATTGCCGACAAGCTCATATCTCATGTTCATGCCTGCTGACATGCTTAAATCCTTGGTGCAATGTTTGTTTCAGATTTAATTTGATTTTTTGTTTTCTTCAAGAATTTTGACCCAACTTTTGTCGGCTTATATGCCGGAAGAAAAAAATAAATTGCTTGCTTATAATCAATTCAAATACAAGGTGAGCTTTTTTAAGTTCAATCAAAACAACTGGTCGTGGAAAGTGCCCCTGCATGACCAACTAATACCAATTTTTTACGCAAAAGAATTGATTTTTTTACCTTTTATGATTAATTTTGATCCAACCTGAAAAACTACCCGCCCAAATCTGATTATTTTTTTAAATCTAAAGATCTGTTTGTGGTAAACTCCTTGCTTGATTTGCTACAATCAAATTTTTGTATACAAAAAGTTATGGTTCTCGGAACAGTCAAAATTATTGATTTTTTGACCGTTTTTTGATTTTTTTTGTTTCAAAAATAAGTCCCAGATCTGAGCCCAAAAATTTTACACAACTAAAGCAATGACTCTTGGAAAAGTAAATTTTTTTACCGTTCTTAAGAAATTTTTGTCTTTTATCAAAAACTACCCTGTCAATTCTTAAGTTTTTTTGGTTAACCGAGAAACCAAAATTTGGAAATCCTCTCTGATCTTGCTATCATGTTTAATAGTGCAGTGGCTCTGGACTTAGAAACAATGAAACAATTTGTCTGATGTTTTGTATAAGTCAAGGAATTGTAATTCCGACCGTGGCAAGGAACTTTCAAACCGGGTGTATTTTAGTTTATAATTCCAAGTAAATCAGATCCCTTAAAATTCATCGAGTGGGTCAAGTGATTAATCACTCTAAAACTTTTTTAGAGTCGTTATTTGAAATACATTTAAAAAGTATTCGAAAAATGTCCCAGTATTACGAAAATTGGTTTCAATTTTTTTTACTTCAGTTCAATTTTGGGTGAGTAAAACAATCAAGTGTATTCAGTTTTAAACAATTGATTAATTTGGCTAAGCAAATGGTTTTAGAGAAAAACAGTTCCAGCAAAAAAGTTTTAAAATTTTTTTAGCGCTTGAGAAATGAAAATTATCATGAGAATAAAAACTTCCGCGAAAATTGATTTTTGATTTTTTTAAACTTTTTTTGTCTTTTTGTCATTTTAACGGCAAAAATTGCTGCCAATCATAGGCTGCCAAATGTCTACACACCCCTGGACATATAGGATTAGGTCATACTACTTGATATGATAAAAATTGTTAATAATTCGATTTTCATTAACGGAAAACAGGCTTATACAATTTTATACCATTCCATATGAAACTTCTTTATTAAAATAGCATACTGATAATTTTTCCATGTTTTAATATTGAATGATTAGCTTTTTTTATTATTATAATATAATGACTTACATTTTTTTATTGAAATTGTTCGACTGCAACTTTTACATGAAGTGAATTGTAGAACTTAATATTTTTCCTTAACTGATAGCAATTTTTCGCGTTTGTTTTTGTGTTTAGCCCTAAAATAGAGTAAACAAAAATTTTATCGAAAAACAAAATCAATAGGTAACAATATGAGGAAACAATATGAGGCGATAATATTGCAGGTTAAATTATTTGTTGTGATTGACATGCCAGGTATGTTAAACAATTGAATTTCACACAGTTTGATATCAAAAAATAATCTTTTTTGGCTATAAAGCCTTTGTTTCCAAAACTTTCAGTAGTTGAGTTCGGTGGTTGAAAATTTTTTTGGACTGATTTCGGTTTATCGTTTTATATAAAAACAAAAAATAAGAATTCTGAATTCACGGAAATCTTATTGTAATTTTGTTTCCTCTGTGTAAAAAAATGTGTCTGGAATGCGTTATGGCAAAATTTTGATATTTTGCATACAAAACAAGACAACTTTTTTGGTTAAATGTTTGTTTGAGTAACACCCAGTTTGGCGATTTAAACGAGAACTAAAACTAGCTGTTATTTTGTAGTTTTGTAATTTTTGTCAGAAAACATTATTCTCATATTATTTACAAAACGAATTCTTTTCGACGGACAAATGAAATCTCAGGCAAAAAATATCAAGTAGTTTTTGAAAAGTACTTGCAAACAAGTTTGAAGGGTTGCTGAATCATTGTTTGTAGGAAAAAGTGCTTTTAGTAAAATAGTCTCGCCTAATGGAATTGTATGACAACCATTTTTTTCGTATTGAGGTCAACCCAGCGAGGCAACTCTTGGCCATGTCGGTTTAAAAGAGTCGCAAACTTCGACCTGGACAGCAAACGTGAGAATATACACTGCGTACTGTTTTAGAAGTACTGCTCTATACGGTGGTATTTCTACAGTTCGATTCCATAACGTCACTCAATAACAATAGTAGTAGTAAGCGTTTCCCGGGTCGAGGTGCTCGACTTATGTTTCGACTTTGAAAGTCGAGTAAGAGCAGCTTTGGGACTGAAATTCCGCGGTCGAAAAGCAATTTTAAGTCGAGCAGAAAGTCGAAACTACCCGATTTGGGTCGAGAGAGTCGAAACATAGGTCGAGAAAGTCGAGACATACCCAATTTTGGTCGAGAAAAAGGAAACATGGTCGATACAGTCGAAACATAGGTCGAGCACAGTAGAAACATAGCCGATTTTAGTCAAGAAAGTCGAAACATAGGTCGTGCACAGTCGAAACATAGGTGAAGCATAGTCGAAACATAGGTCTAGGACAGTCGAAACATAAGTCGAACACAGCAAAACATAGGTCAAGCACAGTCGAAGCAGAGGTCGAGCACAGTCAAAACAGAAGTCGAGCACGTCGAAACATAGCCGATTTTGGTCGAGAAAGTCGAAACATAGGTCGAGCACAGTCAAAACAAAGCCAATTTCGGTCGAAAAAGTCGAAACATGGGTCGGGCATAGTCGAAACATAGGTCGTGCACAGTCGAAGCAGAGGCCGAGCACAGTCGAAACACAGCCGAATTCAGTCAATACAGTCGAAACATAGGTCACGCACAGTCGAAACATAGGTCAAGCATAGTCGAAACATAGGTCGAGGACAATCGAAACATAAGTCGAACACAGCAAAACATAAGTCGAGCACAGTCGAAGCAGAGGTCGAGCACAGTCGAAACATAGGTATAGCACAGTCGAAACATAGGTCGAGCACAGTAGAAACATAGGTCAAGCACAGTCGAAACATAGGTCAAGCATAGTCGAAACATAGGTCGAGGACAATCGAAACATAAGTCGAACACAGCAAAACATAAGTCGAGCACAGTCGAAGCAGAGGTCGAGCACAGTCGAAACATAGGTATAGCACAGTCGAAACATAGGTCGAGCACAGTAGAAACATAGGTATAGCACAGTCGAAACATAGGTCGAGCACAGTAGAAACATAGGTCACGCACAGTCGAAACATAGGTCAAGCATAGTCGAAACATAGGTCGAGGACAATCGAAACATAAGTCGAACACAGCAAAACATAAGTCGAGCACAGTCGAAGCAGAGGTCGAGCACAGTCGAAACATAGGTATAGCACAGTCGAAACATAGGTCGAGCACAGTAGAAACATAGGTCAAGCACAGTCGAAACTTAAGTCGAGCACAGTCGAAACATAAGTCATAAGTTTCAAGTAATAAGTTTAAAGGGTGATCAAACTGCGCACGATTAATATTCAAAACGTACTTTTGGACATATTTTTTTTAAATGCGTAACGTCTTTTCTCCAGGTTTAAGAATTTAATGATCCGTTTCGATTTAAGAACTCTTCATACAAGAATGAAAAATGCTAGTCTCAGACCTATGAAGTTTTATTGATATGCAACGGTTAAACTAAAATATTGCCCATAACTATTGGCAGTGACTGGGATGACGCAGACAGTCTATCAGATGATAGCAGTGAGAGGAGTAGTGTAGGAGGAGGCATGTCGAAGTTCCTGGAGAAGCAGTTCTTCCAGTTGGTCGAAGACAACGACTGTGTTGCTGTGGAGGAAATGCTATGGAAACACAAGTAGGTCAATCGTCACTTCAAAGGTTTTTTCTAACGCAAACACCATGGAATTGGTATTCCGATTTCGCTCCCGAAAATTGAATCCACTTTAAATTTTTTTAAAAAAAATATTGATATTTTCAAAACTTGCCAAAAGTTTTTTTCTGAACACATAAGCATAGAAAAGTTTTGCGTCAGAAAATTATTTTTCATTCTCTACACACCATGAGTTCAGCGAATCTATCTTTTTCAACCTGTGAACGTGTGGATTTTGTTTCAATCGTTGATCATAGAAAGTTTGTTTTAATCGTTGATCTTTTTTTTAAATTCAGCAATCAAATTAAGTCAAACAATGCAAAAGTGGGTAAATAATTATTAAAACAATATGAAAATTGCGCCGTGTAATTAATTCCGGGCAATTCAGTCAGAAACGCCAAAAAAGTTTGAAGCGCACAGAAATTGACTTCCTCAAAATTTAGAAAAAAAACTGATCTTTTCCAGTCCCCGCGTTGCGTGTCTTTTTTGAAATTCGATTTACAAAGTTTTTTAAAAATGACTTTCCAAATTGTTACAAAACAAGTCAGAGCGAATCAAGTTTTTGAAATATATTTTCGCATGAACAATTTTGCGAAAATATATTTTGCTGTTTTCCTTTGCTCTGCGAAGTAAACATGGGAGGCTTGTTGCCGAACAAGACGTGAACAACGATGAATGCATGGGAATTTCTTTTTGTAAAATATTGGTAAATCACTTGAAATCCCGCACTGGCAAAATTGGTTTTGAATCGATTTCAAATTTTATTAACAATCTACATTTTAGGAATTGAAATGGATTTTAAATCGATTTAGATCGACCTTTCTTGAAAGTTTTGAATCAATTTAATTGTCTTGAAAATCGATTTGAAACGATTTGGATGGATTTTCAGCCTCATTTAAATCCATCTGAATAATACTAAAATTCAATTAAATCAATTTTAAAGACTTCTGAGCAGATCAATTCAAGTGTCTGAAAAATCTATTTCAAATCAATTTAAATTAATTTTGTTTTGCTAACACTGCAAAAAACCTATAATTAAAAAAATCAAATATTTTATTTTTGATTTGTTCAAAAAAGCACACGTGCTAGATTTCAAGAAAACTACAAAAACAAGAATTTGAGCTCGATATTAAGCAGATTATGGCAAAACTCTAAATAACAAATCAAGAAAAGGGTCACGATTAGTCAAAAATTGAGCTGAAATATTTGAAATGAATCATCGACAACTATCATTGTAAATCAGATATTGGGCTAAAACTATTGTACAAACTCAAGAAAATGGTCAATATAAAACAGATGTTGAGCTCAAAATGTGCAATGAAATCATGAAACACTATCGCTATTTAAAAAATTTTTGTCTATTTTTTTGCGAACCTACGCTATGAAGGTAAATTGAAAAATGATGGGCAATGAATAATTGCAACACACACTCCAAGCTGATGAAATTTGCCTATAAAAAATTGATTCGAATCCGTTTTAATCCCCCTACAAAGAAAAGCAATTTAAAACTGCAAAAAAGGTTTTAATTTGGTTTAAAAATGATGTGAATCATTTTTTTCGCTGGGATTTATGATATCAATTTTAACCATTTCAAAATCGATCCAAATCAATTTTAACTTGGTCTTTTCAACTTTTTGCACTTTTTTCATGCTAAAACCGATCTCAATTGAATCTACATACTTTTTTCATACTAAAATCGATCGTAATCTGTCTTCGTCAGTGCGGGGTAGCAGTACGTTATCTCCGGAGTTTTGCAATTTTCTCCAACATTATGATTCAATTGCTAGAGACCCGGTAAAGCAGATTTAAAATTGCAGGGAAGTGTTACCGACAGGAAAAAATAAAAATTTCAATTTTTTTAAATAAAAAATGACGACCTCATTGTGCTTTATTGGTTTTTTTCTCCAGACAAGTTTTGACTATTTAGCGAGCAATTTTTGTTAGTTTTTTTAAGTTTTAAAGAGTAATATTCGGTCGCATAAAGTCCCAACATACTCATTTTGAGTCTCAATGGTCGCAACATAACTTTTTTTGGGTCGCACAGAGTCGCAACATAGCATTTCTGGGTCGCTCAAAGTCCTATAAAAGTTCTTCAGTTGCTCAAAGTCGCAAAATGCCCATCTTGAGTCGCAATAGTCGCAATATACCTAACTTGGGTCGCAATGGTCGCAACATACCTTTTTTAGGCCACACAAAGTCGCAACATACCACTTCTGAGTCGTGCAAAGTCGCATAAGAATTCTTCGGTCGCATAAAATCGCAAAACACCCATCTTGAGTCGCAGTGGTGGCAACTTACCTGACTTGGGTCGCAATGGTCGCAACATAATTTTTTTGGGTCGCACAGAATCGCAATATAGCATTTCTGGGTCGCGCAAAGTCCTTTAAAAGTTCTTCGGTCGCTCAAAGTTGCAAAATGCCCATCTTGAGTCGCGATAGTTGCAATATACCTAACTTGGGTCGCAATGGTCGCAACATACCTTTTTTGGGCCACACAAAGTCGCAACATACCACTTCTGAGTCGTGCAAAGTCGCATAAGAATTCTTCGGTCGCACAAAATCGCAAAACACCCATCTTGAGTCGCAGTGGTCACAACATACCTGACTTGGGTCGCAATGGTCGCAACATACCTTTTTTGGGCCACACAAAGTCGCAACATACCACTTCTGAGTCGTGCAAAGTCGCATAAGATTTCTTCGGTCGCACAAAATCGCAAAACACCCATCTTGAGTCGCAGTGGTCACAACATACCTGACTTGGGTCGCAATGGTCGCAACATACCTTTTTTGGGCCACACAAAGTCGCAACATACCACTTCTGAGTCGTGCAAAGTCGCATAAGAATTCTTCGGTCGCACAAAATCGCAAAACACCCATCTTGAGTCGCAGTGGTCACAACATACCTGACTTAGGTCGCAATGGTCGCAACATAGCAATTTTGAGTCGCAATGGTCGCAACATACCTTTTTTGAGTCGTGCACAGTCGCAACATATCATTTCTGGGTCGCGCAAAGTCGCATAAGAATTCTTCAGTCGCAAAAAGTCGCAAAATACCAATTTTGAATCGCAATTGTCGTGCTATACCTGACTTAGGTCGCAATGGTCGCAACATAGCCATTTTGAGTAGCAATGGTCGCAACATAAATTTCCGACCTCGACCCGGGTTTTGAGCTCAAACAATCGATTTTAACGCAATTTGAACTCAAACTAAAAAATAATCCACTTCTTATTTTTTCGAGAGTTTGGGTGTTTCCAATTCGGATAATGAATGGTCGTAAAAATTTCCAGTTTTTTTTTATCAGCACGTAGCAAATGTGGCGAATTGACGCCGCTCAGAGGTGGGGGAAATGGTAATGTAAGTCATATTTTTGTCTCTTTTTTTTTATCAAAGAATTAACCAACACTTCTTCAGACAAGGGACACTGATACGAAAAAACTTGTTATCAATGTAATAAGACAGGTGCTGATCAAATTGATTTTTCGAGTTATCTTAAAACCATATAAAGACCATATCTTGCTTTTGAACACTTTTCGTCGAAAGATTTGGACCGGCGACTAGCATCTTCAGCAAAACTGTAGCGTCGGTCGGCAGAGAAAGGATGTCGTAAAACAAAGAATAGATGTGCCATTCGTAGAATGTCCTGAAACAGTACCAAAAGAAGGAAGTTTTTGAGTGGTGAGGAGGTCGATTCACTGAGGGCGAGGGGCAGTTCAAATCCGCGCCTGTTTTTAGACACGAAGTTCAAATGGGTGGGAGGAACAAGGAGGGATTCACTGCACTGGGACTGGCTGCAATCTGTGGCTCCAAGGAGATGATGGAAACTCTGTTGCACAGTGGGTGTGACATGAAGGAGGAGCCGCTCATCTGCATACAGCAGGACTTCCAGCCGGGCCTCATGATTCTGCTGGACAAGTTAGCCCAGCAGGGTGTAGATGGGGCTAATATGTCGGTAAATGAGTTGCTTCTTGGAAAGAGGAATCAACCTTATTCACTTTTACTACACACACATTGCAATTTTTTCTCATATTTTCCACGCTATAGCGGCTAAATGTTCCACTTTTGGTTTTTGGTATCTGGTTCATATATGTTCAGAAAAAGAAATTGTTGTTTTCTCCATGCAATTCTTAGTACATTATACATAGGGGCAGATCTAGGATTTTCTCGAGAGGGGGGCGGATTTTCGAAAAAAATTATGCGCTGCGTTTTTAGGGGTTTCTAGGCTTTTTTTGGAAAATTTTTTTACCAAAAAATCGCGTTTTTTTGGCGCGTGCTCCCCGCCCCTCCCCTAAATCCGCCCCTGATTATACATAATGGAGATGTCTCCCAAACGTAATAAATTTTAAAGGTAAATTTTCGTAGAATGTATGGTTATAAGTTTCTGGCTTGGAAATAAAAAATAAAGTTATTACAGATAGTTTTCAAGAACGAAATTTAAATGTGTGCCAGGGGGCGGGAGTGATTGTCATAGAGTTGATCTGTTCTGCTTTGCACCAACAAATGCTTTTGTGCCACCTGACTATGACCAATCTGCAGTACGTTTTGCACAAGATTTTGGCTGGGTTTTGTTGCCTCGACATTAAGGAAAAATAGGACAACAAACATCTAGAGCTTACAAAAATTCATCAGTTTTAATGAGCGATGGTGTTTATGATTTCAGCTGATGGCCAAGAGTGGGGCGACGTTTCCCAGGGGAGCTAATTGTGTGATGGAAGCCTCTGTCAACAACAACATCAACATGCTCAAAGTGCTCTCTTTATATGGATCCAAGCCCCTTCCCCCGCCCACTGTGAGAGTACCCTCTATGTTCGACGTCATGCTTAAAAGGTGGGGTCTTCTACTATATTTACATTTAACAAAACCTCTTCTGAGAAGAAGAGAACAATTGTGTTGAAATGTGCACACAGAGGCGAAGCTGGGCTTCACAAACCCAAGCAAGGAAAATACAAAAAAGAGATCTAAACAGGCAAAACAATGTGAAACAAGGAAAAAAGGAAAACTACACCTTAAAAATGTTTTTTGTTGAAATTAGGAGTATCACGTCCTCACATTCGCTTCACGACTGGTGGTAAATTTACTATCATTGGCCACCAATAAATACGCTGCACTGCTATACAGCAAAACCTGGACCAAATAAAAAATAAAAGTCTTTCAATATTCCGGATTTGATTATCCGACCATGGATTGGGAGCGTCGCGTCCTTGAAACTGCGCCACAGTCATTTGAAATTAAACTTGTGGCACATATAATGCTGTATGCGCCTGTATTAAAAATTGTAATCAAATTTTGTACTGATGCAGAAACGCATAATTTTCAAATCTGAAGAAATGAGACTTTATGCAACACCCTGTTTTTTTTCATATAAAGTTAAGCTGATAGCTTTTGGGTATTAGATTTCCGGTATAGTGACCAAATTCCCAAAAACGTTTAAAAGGTTAAAAAAAGGACTTTTCCAAAATCTATACTAATTTTTCTACAAAAAGTTCGATGATATTGTTTATGCTGGAAATAATTTAAGCACCATGTTCGCTTATGAACCATAAATCTCAAAATCACTAGATTAGTTTTTGAGAAAAAGAACAGTTCAAAAATAGTACAATTTTTTCAAAAATCCAGGAAAAAGCCGCATGCGCAGAGAATAAAACTTGTTTTTGTTTTTTGATTGAACTCTTAATCTCAAATTTGGCGGATTAGTTTTTGAAAAAGACAAAATTTTCCAAAAAAAACGAAAATTTAAAAATTGACTTTTTTTACAATCATAATTTTGTTAAGGAAAATTAGGGCGTAGTTTACAAATCATTATAATGAATTTCTACTTTTTGTTTTTCCGATTGAACCCTCTATCCCAAATTTAACAGGAAATTTTTTAGAAAAATTCTAAGTTTTACAAATTAATCAAAGTTGCAACTGTTTGGCTTGTTTGAGACCATAACTCTTTTTCTACTGAACCTAAGGTATAGCCGCTTATGAAGCGTCATTTGTTTAAACATGATCCTTATGATTTGTTTAAACATGAAACCTATATCTCTGATTGGATCAGTTAATACTTGAGAAGGAGACTAGCAAATTTTACAGGCACATATAAAAATTGCAAGTTTTTCCGTTGGCGCGACTTTCTTGAAAAAAAGTACAGTTGTTTTAAGAAAAATTAAACTTTTCTCCAGAAAAGCACAAATTTTCAATCTCCGAAAACACTGCAGTAGTTACTACTGATTTGTCTACTGTTTCATAGCCATTACTCAGAGGTGAAGCTGCACTAAGTAAGCACAAGCTAGAAAACTGCAAACATAGCTCTAAAAAGCATCAACAAAAAGAAATAAGGAAAAAACTGTAACTCACGGAAAAGAAAAAAATGTTATTGAAACCTCCGACCCCAAGAATAAAAACCTTTGTTTTCTTGCATCTGCAGCGCAATTGCTCGAAAATTTAACATAGAGCCGAAGCTGCTTTTCGCAAGACTTGCAATACAGAACCACAAAGCCGCGATGTCGTAGAAAATCAAAAAAAAATTGAAAAACTCAGATCTATCAAAATGAATCAGGCGTGCTTTTAAACAAACCTTGACAAGACAAAAATAAACTGAATTTTGCATCCAGAGACAAATTACCAAGCGGTAGCAAAGCCAAAAATACTCTAACGGAAACCCTAAAGCCAAAAAAATGTACCTGACTTTCGACGTACAATTTTACTTGCTTTACTTGCTTGTTTCAAATGAAACACGATGAGGTTATCAAGCCGATTTAAAATTAGTCGAATAAAATAGCAAATCAACAAAAAAGCCAAAAAAAAATCAAAAGCATAAGAACTATTTGAAGTTTTTTAGGTCACCTTACCCCTATAAACACACAAACACACACAAAATTTTTTTTAGTTCGTCGGAAGATGCTATAAGAGGAAATCCAACCGATTTAACAAAAGCCGAATAAAATTCCATTAAAAAAACTGTTGCCAAGAAAAACTTTATAAACATTTTCTTATGAACTTTTAGCAATTTGTGCGAAACAGTGTGCACATTTTTTTCGCTCGTCAAGAGAACCAATATGAAGACATTAAGCCGATATAGTATATACAGAAGCCTATCATGCCAAAAAAAAACATAGAAGCCGGAAAAAAATGTTGTCAAGGAAATTTTGTACGAAAATTTCTACAAAGATTTTTACAGTGTGAGCGTTTCAGTGAGCATAAAACTAAAAATCAAAAGGACTCAAAATTATGTCGCTTAGTTGCAAAAAGACGAGCCGCATTTAGTTGGGCAGAATAACATTGTTAAGATTTAAAAAAACTTTGAAGTCAAGAAATTACAAATAACAGAAAAAATCAAAATTTTAAAAAATTAAAAGCAACTACATAAGTGAATTGTTTGCACCAAAAATGGTTTACAATGAGGCGATTAAACTGACAAAATGTGAGCAGACAAAAAATAAGCCGACAGTTTTTTTTTGAAATGGAATATTTTTCATTTGAAAAAAACGCGTCCGGTCAGACGTGAACCTAGATCTTTTAGAGTCCTTGGTATAACAGTTACCTCCAAACCAATTATGACAGAGACGCGAAGACAAAAAATTGAATTCATTGTGATATGAACCTAAAATTGTTATTACTAATTTTGAGCATTCTGCAAACAAAGTGTTTTACTCCAAGTCATTTTGGAGTTTTACCAAGTCCATAACCGATTGCTTGTTCTAAGTGTAGAAAAAAAACCCTTTGCAGAGGAGCTAATAAAAGCATTGCAATTTAATTCATTTCTTAAATTCGAAAATAGCACATACGTTTTTGAGAAATTGAATGAAATCTGAAAAATATCAATACGTCAAAAAAAATTTTGTTTAAAATGGATTCAACAGAAAAATTTAAAAAACACTAATATACAAGGGATACACCAAAATTTTATTCTCAATTTAAACCCTTAGCCTCAGATTTGGCAGTGTTTTCCAAGAAAACCAACAAGCTTGCAACATTGGACAAAATTTTTAAAAAAATGGACTTTAAAGTCCAACATTGCTTTTCTATACAAACTAGGGCAGAGCTGCGATGCAGAAGAAATTCACACAGCCTGGTTTTTTCGATTGAACTCTCCGACTTTGATTGAATTTTTCAGATTTGGCAGGATGGTTTTCGAGAAAATCAAAAAGTTCAAAAAAACAGGAAAAAAATTCGAAAGTAGATTTTTTGTCAAATAAAATTATTTTTCAGCATCAAAAAGTGCATAGCTGCTCAAGTAGACAAATTTGTTTTTACTTTTTCTTTCGATTGATTCCTTCATGCCAAAATTGGCATGGTTATTTTTGAGAAAATCATTTAAAATTTAAAAATTAGTCAACTTCAAGGGCTGTAACAATTTTATACAAAATTTAGGGTGTAGCAGTTTATGCAGAGAGGATTCCAGACAGCGGTTTTTTTTAAATACTTAATTTTTTAAATAATTGGCTGAGTAGTTTTCGGGAAGAAAAAAAATATCTTTTCATAGTAATGGTCAAAATTTTAAAGTTTGGACGTTTACCGAGGCCATAACCCTTTGTCTACAAAAACAAGGGCGTAGCAGCTCATGCAGGAGAAATCACCATAATTTGTCTTTTTGATTGAACTCTTCGCCACAGATTTTACGGGGTAATTTTTGAAAAAAAAAGAAAAAACGGAGTAAAAGCTACCCCATTGAAATTTTCGAAAAAAATTGGCAAGGTAAAAAGAGACGGTCCATCATACAGGGTATTTGAATCTGCCATCAAGGGCCTTTGCACTACCAAAGTAGCACCAATAACTGCGACATGAGTTGGAAAAAAGTTGAGTTGTAGTATTACACTACGCATTGCTTGCGTAATAATAATAAAAAGCTCGTGAGAATGCCTAAAAAATTTTACATTTTTCCTGGTGACTTAAATCCATATGCGAATCCACCATTGTCAAAAATTTTTGTAGTAAGAAGTCGGTAAAATGTTTAAATCTCTCTAACTATTCATTCCCTTTTTTGCAAAGTGGGTATTTGTAACTAGGTACAAATTTCTCCGTTGATGCTTAACCATTGAATGTTAAACCGTTAATTTATTTCTTTATGTGGGGGAGAGATTCGTTACTAGGTACTCGAATGGGGAAATTGTTAAAGATATCCGAAAATATTAATAGACGACTAAGTATATCAGCCCATACCATATCCCCAACCACCCCCTTGTGTTTCCTCTTAAGTTGCTTCATAAATGTGGGTCAGGTGTCGAGTGTCTTCCGGTTATTTTAACTTTTGTGAGATATCCTTGATTCATTCTGATTGAGAACGTTTTCCAAAAAAAATTGTTCTTATCATTTATTTAACATTTCTGAATAATCAACTGATTTATTTTTTAAGTCTCAGATCCATGGAAGACCGGTAAAAAACACTGCATTGCCTTTTAAAATGTTATCATTGCACACTGCACAGCTCTTCGACTGTTTTTAGTAGTTCCGATTTTATTAGTTGGTCCTAGAAAGAGAAAAAGTCCACCTGCAATTGGTTTGGAGAGATATGTAGCTAGTGTATCAGTGTATCAAGTTTAACTACCAGACGAGATGCTTAAATGGAGATTCAAACGGCTCCGAGAGATTTGTACAGATATGTATTTTTTCTGGTTGAAATTTAGCTCAAACTCTGCAGAACAACTTGCACCAGGGGCGAAATCAGATGAGGGGCAAGGACACCTTCCCTCCCTCCGGGATTTGACCCCTTCACAATCCCTTTGGTGTGACATCAACTTTGGCCTTCGGCGCTAATATATATAGTAACTGCGAGGGGAAGCGCGGGCCAAAAAAACGCAATTTGTTGTTTAAAATCTTCCAAAAAGTGTCCAAAAAAGCCTGTTTTTTTTCCAAAAATTAGCTTGAAAAATGAATTTAGACGACCGAAAAAAGATTTAACAAACGTTCAAAATCCAATCCCCCTCCCCTGCTTTCGACAAAATTGTAGATCTGCCCCTGAGTTGCATCAAATTGAATTGGTAAATTTCTAAGCAACTTATACTCTTTTTGTCTACCCGTTTGGGTTTTGAATTTGTTTCGTTTTATTCAGATGTTGAATCAGCTTTGTATATAGAGTCCGCGAAATTAGCCTGAAGAAAACACACCGAGCACTAATTTTCTTTCGTTTTGTTCAAAAATCGATACAATTACTTATTAGAGCAATCCGGTTGACTTCATTTTCATGACTAGCATGCTAACAATGAATCGCGTAGTTTTATTAATCTAAAGATTTTTAATTGAACCAATTGTGGGCATTTGAGTGTGCGTAGAAAATTAGAGTGGAGCTAGTTCATATCTATCGTGTTGATAAAGCGTGCTATTTGAGCTATGGTTGGAACAAGGATAAGATACAGGAGGAAGGTCTCACATGCTTGATTGTTTTTCATTAAAGGTCGAATGTGTTGGAGCATGCCGAGGGGATGCTGTACACCTTGAAGGCTCTCTCCAGTCCGGCCTATGCCATGATCATGGAGAGTGATGACCCCCTCATGGCCTCCTTCCAAATGGCGCAGAGACTCAAATACCTCGCATCGAAAATGCCCATGCTTAAGGTGCCCTGCTGAACGCCATCTAAATTTGTCATGCAGTATTGAATTGAATTAAGTAACTCGAAGCAGATAACCCAGTGGCAAAGCACAATATAATTTTTGAAGAGAAGTCCGGTTCGAGTTAGGGTAACATGTCGACTTCGTACTTTTAGGTCGACTAAACTGATGAAATATTAGAAAAATTGCCGAAAGCTGGCCCCACTCACTCAAAATCAAAAGAAAAGAGTGTTGTTTTCGAACATCAGCTTTCAAGCTTGCCGACATTATAAAAGTTTATGTGTTGATTCCACTCCCCTCTAATTGGAAAAAAACCGTTTCCCTCTTCATTTTTAGTTTCAATTCAGTTATTAAATCTTTTAATGACGAAAATATGTCAAAAAGACGTGCGCTCCCCCATCAAAAATTAGTATTAGTTGACGCCTAAGGCGCCTTTAAAAAACTTGTAGGATTGGTCGGCAGAAATGGATGTCTTAAAAGATTACCAAAGGGGTAGCAATTGGGACAATTTTCTAAAGCAAGTGGGTTGCATCCGCCCCTCCCCTAAATCTGTCTCTGATTTAACATCCGTAGTTTGTTTTAGGACGAGTTGTTGAAACTTGCGGAGCAGCAAGAGGGCTTTGCGGCCGAGTGGCTGGGCAGTGCAGGGGACAACTACGAAGTCAACATAGTACTTGCTCTAGAGGAGAAGAAAAAGAGTCAGGCGAGAAGTAGCAGAGAGGATTCGGACAGGGTAGTGGACCCATACGCCAGACTCAGCTACGCCCTGAGAAACAACCACCAGAAGGTAACTGAGCACACATTGAAACTAGGTCTGAAAAAATAGACTTGTCTAAATGATTAAGCCTTGTGTAAATCATTTATGAGAAGTCCAGTCATCGCGTTTTTCAATCTCTTTATTTGGCAAATGTCCATATTTGGCTTTTTTCGCCGCAAACTTTTACAAAATGTCCATAATTGGCTTTTTTCCGCCTCATGCTTTCCGCCGCAAGCGTTAATACCAAGTTTGTCCCATGCGGCGCTCCCAATATAAGCTAGAAATAATCAAGCATAGATCATATCTACCTTTTTCCCCGGGAATTGAAATAAAAAACGTATATTCGAAGCAATATCGAAGAGTTTTTTAATTGGTTTTAGCTCAAATTATCAAGACATTTTATATGGAAA